TATATATTAACCATAACACACATTAGTATATAAATATATAAATTGTTTAAATATATATATATATATATCTTATACTTGTACATACAATGGCCTGTATCAATCAGCTGTAGCGATTTTAACTAAAAGTGAACTTCAGCGCATTTTTAGATCGCACTCCAAATGAATAATAAAATGTTAAAAACCTAAAGCTGATAACAGTGTACATAATAAAAATAATAAGAATAACAATAATAGTACTAGAAATAACGATAATAATAATAACTGGTTTAGTTCACAAGGTCAAAAGATTGTTGTGTATATAAATAAGGTTGGTTGGACACACAGGCAAATGATTTTCAATGAAATTTATTCTAGTTAGTCATAAGTGTCAGTTTCGGATTTCGTAGAATTTGTGACCCAAAATTTAACGTTTGTTTGATAGTGCAGTTGTAGTCACAACTGCCAAAGTTTGGTTGGGTTAAGACGTTAAGTTAAAACTATTGAGTGTTGGTTGATGATATAAGAAATAAAATAAATGGTGTAGTATACACAACTAACAACAAAATACAACATCTAGAAAGCATTTGGTTGTTTGCAAAACAAAAAAATGTCATCAGAGTGAGGATTGTATTTTTTTTTTAATTTAAATTTATAAATTTTAACATTTCTGTTCAATAAATAAATATGCAGTATGAGTATATACTAACTATATTATACACTTAATTGGGCTTTTTTATTTTTTAACACTGTTTAGTAACTGGATTACCATTATAGGCTATTTTATTACATTTATTATATATTTTCAATTAAATTAATTAAAGTTTATTACAAAAAAGACACAATCATAAACTCAATATGAACAACTTTTTGAAGATGTAGTATGGTATAGAAAATATATATTTAAAATTATTTAATATGAAGGAATTCATACACCTTATTTGCATACATTGCATGTAATTGGCATATATGGGTCTAAATGCATTTGAACCCGACAACTGCAACATCAAGCCCAGACACCTTAGCTACTACACCATCTCATCACCCAGTGTTATATCATTATTCTCTCATTGCAGTTTTGGTTTCAACTTGACCTTCTTCAAGAGGTTCTACAGGCAGATGCAAATTGTTTTTCCAAGGCTCTGTTCCATATCAACTCTGCTATTCTTCTCAATCCTAATTCTGGTACTCTGTGGTTAGCAATTATTATTTTATTGTTATTTTTAATATTATTATTGCTATTATTATTATTATTATTATTATTATTATTATTATTATTATGGTTATAATAACAATACTTCTTTAAGTGTTATGCTTCATAGTAGAATGTAAAATGTATAGTAGAATGATAAATGTATAGGTGATTAAAAATTGAAAAAGGACTACAGGACAATTATTATTAAAGATAGGTTAACATATAGTTCGAACAATTTATCAACTGTTGATAGCGCTATAACTGATAACCTGCATCTTGCTTTAGAGGCAGTGATTTTCATACAACCCACAATTACTTAATGATTGTATGAAAACTCCAAATGGCCATTATATAGCCAGTAGAGAAACAAAGACATACTTGTCATCAAAGTTACCTATAAATTTTAAAACGCCATTTAGTTTTGCTGTTACTAATCAGTCACGCATATTATCATAATAATAATAATAATATAATTATATAAACATAATAATATTACATATAATTACAATTATATAAACATAACAATATTACATATAATTACAATTATATAAACATAACAATATTACATATAATTACAATTATATAAACATAATAATGTTACATATAATTACAATTATATAAACATAATAATATTACATATAATAACAATTATATAAACATAATTATATTACATATAGACATAACTATACTTCATACAGAGCAGGCTGTTGGCTACTTCATTGGTCTGGTGCCTAGCCAGTATTATATGGCCCTCGGTAAAAAAGATTTTGACCAATTCATGTACCTTACGCTGAAGGCACTGGCCCTAGTTCTGACTATGGCTCTTGTGGGTTGAAATTTTTTAAAATTGCTTCTATCATGACGTCATTATTGTTTTTTATCTCTTCATTTGGTAACTCTACTTGCCAAGTTTGGTATAATTATATTAGTGAAAAAATGAATTAATAGATGAATGATTGAATGAATGAATGAATGAATAAATGGATGGATGAATGAATGAATGAATGAATGAATGAATGAATGAATGAATGAATGAATGAATGAATGAATGAATGAATGAATGAATGAATGAATGAATGAATGAATGAATGAATGAATGAATGAATGAATGAATGAATGAATGAATGAATGAATGAATGAATGAATGAATGAATGAATGAATGAATGAATGAATGAATGAATGAATGAATGAATGAACAACTGTCTGGATATAAAATTTATTAATTAAATGAATGAATAACAAAATCACTGAGTAAATGATAGGATGAATGATAAATGATAAATGGAGCAATCCGTTTTTTCTTCATTTACTTAATTAGATTTTAGCGCTAAAAAAGTACGTCTGGATGTTGTTCTACATAAAGAGCAGAAAAATGCTGACAGATTATCTGCAACAACTCTACCTGGCTGACATCAACTACTACAAACTGAATGTCCTCGACAATGAGATTGATAATGTGTAAGTTTTCTGTCTTTTCTGTCTTTGTTTGATAATTTTTTGTCTTTGATAATTTTATGTCTTTGTTTGGTCTTATTTGTCTTTGTTTTATCATTTTTTTGTCCTTGTTCGGTCTTTTTATTTTCTCTTTTTTTGTTAATTTAATTTTTTTTTTGATTAATCATTTTACGTTTAAAAATTTGCTTTAAAATTAATTGTAGTTTTGATGTAATAGAAATTAGTTAAATTTAAATAAAATTTATTCATTCATTTTTCAACAAGTTAATTGACAGTGTTAATTATCTATGTTTCAATTCAGTGACCAGAGGATAGCCAAAGATGTAGACAAGATGTGTTTGATCTTTGGTGAAATAATCCCTGACCTCCTAATATCGCCATTCAACATTATTTTCTATAGTGTCCAGTGCTGGCTGGTGTATGCAGTAGTTGTTTGATTTTGTTGTGATTGATTGCAACGCGTTAAAAATTTGAAAATTTGGCCGCATCGTGTATAATGCAGTTGAATGGAGATAATTGTTACTATCATTAGATGTGTGTGTTTTCAAACGTATTTGTTGCATGTTAAATCTTTGGCACTCTATTCACTTTCATTCCATAAGTATAAAATAATAGTAACTAATAAAAACAACGATAATAAAAAATGATAATAATGAAATTACGAACTACAGGATCGGCTGGATAGGTCCTATATCTGTCTACATCTTCTTCATCATCTCTACCGTCATTAACAACTTCCTCATGTCACCGATTGTCAGACTGGCAGCGCAGCAAGAACAACTGGAAGGAGATTTTAGGTTCGCTTGTCTGCTGTACATTGACCTGTGACCTTTGATGGACAGTTTTATATTGACCTTGGTATGACCCATATGACCTTTGTTGGGCGTTTGTTTGCCGCTATAGAGGGTAATTTAAGATTATCTGTTCCAATGTTTAACTAAATAATATTTCTCTACGATCTATAATTTTTAGTAGGCAGATTATTATTACATTTTTATTTTTTGTTATTTATTCATTTTTGTGTAAATGGATTTGTCGAGGTTAGAATATGATTGAGGTATAAGTTGAAGGTTATATTGGCATCATCATCTTTTTATTAGGATAAGATGAGATGAGTAGATGAGAGTTTGGTTTTTATCCTTTTGTCATCATCATCAGCAGCAGCATCATTTTCTTCTTCATCCTTTTCATCACCACCATTCTCGTCATCACCATCTCCTTCTTCTTCTTACGACAAACAGATTCAAGCATATGCAGTTGAGGTTGAACTCAGAGTCAGCAGCATTTTATAGGTGTGGTCTCACGGAAAATAGTAAGTTGTCAGAAAAGTTCAACTTCTTGCTACAAATGCAGAAGAAACTTAATGGAAGGCAGTTTTTCTTATCAAGTTTGTCTGTCTGTCTGTCTATCTCTCTGCCTGTATGTATGTCTGTTTGTCTGCATGTTTGTCTGTTTGTTTGTCTGTTTGTTTGCTCGTTTTTTTTATTACTAATTATTTCAACAGTATTTGGTAGAAGTATAACTTTTACCCTTTGAACAGTTTCCATTTTCTCGGCCAGTTACTTTGGTAGCGTGTTAAGTTACCTGGTTGTAGCGTTCCCTATATTTGGAGGGGTCTATGATCACCTCGATCAAACTGAAATTAGTGTTTTGATTAGTAAAGTTGGTATCACTTGAAATTGTTTGTTAGTGTCTTTTGGATGTATTTGTTTGTATGTTTGTTCGTTCGTTCGCTCGTTCATTTTTTGTTCGCTTGTTCGTTCGCTCGTTCATTTGTTTGTTCCTTGTTTGTTTGTTCGTTTATTTCATTTTCAATTATTTTTTAATTCTCAGTTTTTAACATAAAAATGTTCTATTTTGTTTTTTATTTACCAGCCAGCCAGCCATTCAACCTATTGCAATTTAACCAACAAATCAACCAGCCAATCAGTCAACCACCCAGCCAATCGTTCAACCAACTAATCAATCACTCAACCAGTTAATCAACCCATCAACCAGTTACCAAATCAACCAACTGATCAATCAATAAATCAACCAACCAATCAACCAAATAATCAACCAACCAATCAACCAATCAACCAACAAATCAACCAACTAATTAACCAACCAACCAACCAATCGATCAACCAACCAACCGATCAACCAATCAGGCCTCATTCCTCATCCTCTCCCTCATCTTCAACTTCACTCGCATCATCAACATGGCTCCTCAGGTTTCCGAAATGGCGGGATGTACTCACAGGTTATGATAATGATGGTGATGTCGTCGTTGATGATGATGATGATGATGATGTTGATGTTGATGTGATGACGATGATGTTGATGCGATGATGGTGTGATGACGATGATGACGATGAAGATATTTTTCAGGGTTGGTCAACTGCTTGAGAAGTTGCAGTTTCTGGTTGCTGAAGAGAAAGCTGAGAGAGGAGATGATGAAGGAATTGTCATCATTATCAATGAAGACGATGATGATGATGATGGCAGTGATAAGGATGTTTCTTCATCTCCTACTTACAAGTGAGTGAGTGGATGAGTTAATGAGTGAGTGAAGTGAGTGAGAGAGTGAGCGAGAAAGTGAATGAGTATTCACTCATTCAAGAGATACGCATATCAATCAGCACCGATGATGATACTACTATTGCAATGATATGTTTATAATATGATATAAAATTGAACAGAACAACATCATCACCGTCATCATCGTCATCATCATTGGGACCATTTGGGAAGCGAGTGTATGTGCTGAACGATGCGAGTGTATCAGTGGCTCACAAGACTGTCAGCAGCAGATTGCTGGCTAAGAGTAGGAGGACGTTGTTTTTTGTTTGTCTGATGTTGTTGTTGATGTGATGTTGTTGATGTTGTTGTTGTTGTTGATGTGATGTTGTTGGTGTGATGTTGTTGTTGTTGTTGTTGTTGGTGGTGTGATGTTGTTGTTGATGTGATGTTGTTGTGTTTAGCTATTTTGTTGTTGTTGTTGTTGATGTGACGTTGTTGTTGAAGTGATGTTGGTGTTGTTGGTGTGATGTCGTTGTTGTTGCGACAGCAATGATGACGCTAATGATGATGCCACTGACAGTAAAGATTATTACAGAAGGTAATGACGGTGACGAAGATGATTTAAAATGACGAAAGAAATATAAAAAAATGGATATTTCTAGCCCAACACTTTCATCAACGCCAGGCCTTCATTTGGAGTTCAACCTCGGCTGCAACGTCATTATAACTGGAGATAGTGGGATTGGGAAGACGTCCTTGCTGAGAACCATGGATGGACTCTGGCCGCTTTGTCATGGTTGGTTGGTTGGTTTGCTGGTTGATTGGTTGGTTGGTTTACTGGTTGATTGAATGGTTGGTTGGTTGGTTGGCTGGCTAGTTGATTGGTTGGTTAGTTGGCTGGTTGATTGGTTGGTTGACTGGTTGGTTGATTGATTGGTTGGTTAGTTGGTTAGTTGATTAATTGATTGGCTGGTTGATTGATTGATCGGTCAGTCGGTTGGTCAGTTGGTCGGTTTCGTTGTGATAAGTACTTGTTGAAAAACGGTTTTGCTAAAAGTGCACCGTCTCATTGATCACACCGTTAAAACTTTTGTGTGAAATAAAAGTGGGTGATAATAAAATATTAATAAATAAATAAATGAATAAAAATTCTTAGTGCAAATTTAAATCTTTATAAATAAGTCAAAATTTAAAAAAAATAATGATGGCATAAAATGAAACAAAACAAACAAATTAAACGCTGCCCTTTATAAGTTGATGAGAGTCCTGATGTCACTTGAATGAGAATAATAATAATAAGAAGAAGGAGAAAAAGAATAATAATAAATAGAAGTAGATGAAGAAGAAAAAAAAAGAAGAAGGAGAAAAATAATAATAATAATATAAATTAAACTGTAAGATAAACTAATCGGCGGCATGTCAAATAGCCAAACCAGACGACCTCAGTGTCATCTTGAAAATAGATGAGATAGCTAGGAGAGTTATTTATTATTGTTACTACTATTCTATTATTATTATTATTATTTTTGTTGTTGTTGTTGTTTTTATTAATATTTCGTCGCAATTATCATCTTTACATTTCAAGAACTTTTTTCGTAACATCATCATCATAATCCATTCGTTGTCATCACCATATGAAATCACCACAAAAAAACAGGCAAAATTCAGCGTTTCATGAGCCATGGCAGAGATGGCGTTTTTTATTTGCCTCAGAAACCATATCTCACTAATGGTACACTCAGACAACAAGTATGTATACACGTGTGTGTGTTTGTGTGTGCGTGTTTGTGTGATTTTCTGGTTGTTGATTGGTTGGTTGATCTATTTATTGATTGGTTGGTTGGCCGGTTGGTATGTTGGTCGGCTGGTTGGTCGGCTAGTTTTTATTTGTTTTTTCATCGTCATCATTTCTTTAATATCAGCACATGTGTTAAGATCATGTTTTTTTTGATGATGTCTATCATCATCATCACTTGGCCATCACCACCATCATCATCATCACTGGACCATCATCGCCATCATCATTTTCTTATCATCACCATCTGCTTATCATCATCATCTGCTTATCGTCACCATCTGCTTATCATCATCATCTGCTTATCGTCACCACCTGCTTATCATCACCATCTGCTTATCATCACCATCTGGTCATCATCACACCTTGACTAGATAGTCTTTCCAGACCTAACGTGTTCCATGGATGATGACAGAGAGATCGTAAAAAATCTTCAGTTGGCGGGTTTGGAGGAGTTGTTGGAGAGAACTGGGTCACTGGACGCTAGGGTTGATTGGCATTGGTAGGTTGGTTGGTCAGTTGGTTGGCCTGTTGGTCAGTTGGTTGGTCGGTTGATTGGTTGGTCGGTTGAATGATCGATTGGCTAACTGATTGATTGATTACTTAGTATAAATTGTTTAACTAAATCATTTTCATCCATTCATTATGTTCATGTTTATTATAATTTAGTTACATATTCATGTTGAAGAGTGTTTGACACAGCAATCAAATGATTTTTTAACGGTCAATCTGACAGATAGATGAATGTTTACGTTAATTGATGAATGAATGGTTGACTGATTAATTGGTTGGTTGACTGATTGGTTGGGTGATTGATTGATTGATCGATCGATTGATTGTCAGGGAAGACATATTGTCGCCAGGAGAGGCACAAAGATTGGCATTCGTGAGGTTGTTCTACCACAGGCCTTCTGTTGCCAGTGAGAAAAATTTTTATGGTTTCAACTGTTGGATGAGAACTTTGATGTTTAGTGGAAAGCACGTTCGGTGAAATGCGTAAAATTACAAAGTTCCCTCATTCCAAAACCTAACTGGCAACCACTATGCTAGATTCGTTAGTACAATTGTGTAGATGGTATTGTGACCGATGGTCGCTTTGTATGCGCGGGACTAACTTCTGGAAGCCATTTTTAAAATGGCGGATCCAATTTTTTATTCAATTTTATTATGAAAACCGCTCAACTTGTTATATTGAGTTCGGTGTCAAATTGTATGTTTTTGAGGTCAGATAATTCGATAATGTTATTATTTTTTTTATAAATACAAACCAGTTTTCAATTTTAAAAATGGAGACTTGTATTTGGTGTAAAATCATTTGTATTTAAATAATGATTTGTAATTTCAGAGAAGCATTAATATTTTTCCTATTCAAACAAGAACAACATACACTTAAGCATTTTATCTACTTTTCCCACTTAAAACGAAATACACGATGTTTTTTTATCAATGTAAAATAAAAGCTACAATCCTTCATCTACATCCACATCATCCAGGTTTGAATATACGTTTTTATAATACTGAAAAGAACAACCACACACCTTGTGACACAATAGTTTGGTATAGACATAGATAGATATAGATATAGATACTGATACACAAAGATATAGGACACGATAGCTGCACTGTACACGCAGTTAGCTCGAGCACACTCTGCCACACATCCGCATGACATGAATTTCTTGTATGCGAGTTTAAGGGGGTCTTTTTCTATCTAGTTAAGATGACCTCAAAAACATATAATTTGACATCAAACTCAATATAATAGGTTGAGCGTTTTTACGATGAAATTAAATGAAAAATTGGATCTGCCATTTTACAAAATGGCTTCCAGAAGTTAGTCCCACACATACATAGAGGCCGCCGGTCAAAATATCATCTAAACTTCTGTACTAATGAATTTATGATACTAATAGTGGTTGCTGGTTTAGTTTTGGAACGAACAAAAAAATTTTTTTGTTGCCTGCCTCCTTGCTAGTTGTTGTAAACGTTTTGCTATGCTGTTGTTGTTGTTGTTTGTTGATGTGGTAACGACAGTGTAGTAGCAGTAGTTGCACCGACGCTTTCATTTTTATATTTTCAAGTTAGTTTCATTTAATTATCCAATCAATAATTTTTCCACCACGATTGAACATTGAAACCCCATTCAACCAACAGAATATTTAACCAACTAAACAACACACCATCACACAACTAACTAAACAACCCACCATGCAACAACCAGCTAAACAACCCACCACACAACCATCACACCATCACAGTTCTGGACGAAGCTACCAGCCAGGTGACTGAGAGCCTCGAGGTCTGCCTCTACGAGAACTGCAGACGACTTAACATGACCTTGATCAGCATAGGTCACCGAACGACCTTGACCCGGTTTCACGATCTGGAGTTGCGTCTGCAGGGAAATGGAATTTGGTGCGTAAAGTGGCACAATGATGAAAAAAAGCAGCGGTACAAACAGCACATCCTACGTCAATTCAACTCCACCGACTGCTGCCCTTTCTTTCGGAACATCTCCGGCGACGATGACGTAGACGATGACGTCGATGATGGCATTCATGATAACAGTACTAGTAGTGGTGGAGGCGCTGGTGTTGATAATGATGCTCTCGTTAGCAGCAACAGCCAGAGTACGGACTCAGATCTTTACGGCAGGCTGAACTCAAAGGGCACCACGATGAATAACGATTCGGAAAAATCCAACAACAACATCAACAACAACAACAACAACAACAACAACAATAATAATTTAATAAATTCCAAAAACGGAAATGATGAAGGTACAAGTACTAGCAGTGACTCGGGTACTGGCGACTCGACGGCTGTACTGCGTAATAGAAACAACAGTGACAATGAAAATAATAATAATAACCGTAAGAATAATAATAATAAGAATAACAAGGTGACGTTATTTCTTGACAACCTGGGCTATGGGGATCACACGAGCTTTTGAAAGTCGCAAATACTTATGTTACTGCTAACTTGTGATAAAAAATAAATTTAAATAAATGAATAAATAAATATATATATATAAATAAATATATATATATATATTTATTTAATTATTTGTATATATATATATATATATATATTGATTTATTTATATATTGATTATTTTGTATATATTTTGGTAGCAATCCAGTCGTCATCACTTGTTCTGGAAGAGATTGTTAGGATCAATTTTTAAATTGAGCGTTCAATATTAACACCATAATAACGATAATAATAATAATAATAGTTATTGATTATTATGATTATTATTATTAAATTAATAACGGTTAATTTTTTTATTTGTTATATCGAGGTCAAAAGCAGCTGTAATTGTTCACGATCGTCCTAAACACACACACGCACACACAGACTCACATTTATTTTTTACATATTGTTGTTGTTGTTGTTATAGTTGTTATTAATTCTACTATTGTTGTTGTTGTTGTTGTTGTTGTTATTGTCGTTGCTTGTCACTAATAACGATGTTTTTTAAAATTCCATAATCAATCAATCTAGGTTAATTAGTTCATTTGCTATGTGTATGTGTTTTGTGTGAGTGTGTGTGTGTGTGTGTGTGTGTGTGTGTGTGTGTGTGTGTGTGTGTGTGTGTGTGTGTGTGTTGTTTTCTTGTTAGTTTCTTCTTGTTTCATTGTATCTAAGATTTTTCAGATGTTTGTCTATATTTTGCTATGATTGTTTTTTATAGGCATTGTTGTTGTTGTTGCTGCTATTTTTACTCTGCCAATGGTGTTGTTGTTGCTGTTATATTAGTGTGTTTGTTGTTATTGTCGTTGTTATTGTTATTATTTTTGTTGATGTTATTGTTATTAATGTTGTTGCAGTCATTAATGTCTGTACATTATGAGACCGGTGGCCTGTATAAGCGGGCAAAATAATTTTGTTTGTGTGATTAATCAACGAATGATTGATTAATTAGAAGAGAGATGTTTTTTTCTAATATTTTAAATTATTAAATCTATACTCGACTTTTTTTTATTTTTCATTATTATAAATAGTTTTCATTAAAATGGTTATTAATTAATTAATTAACTAATTTTTCAATGAAATTTTGTCTGGAATTTTAGTTTGAGATAATGGTTTAACCCATTTTTTTTGTTTTGTTGCTTCAACTTCATGTTAGTAGTAGTGGTTGTAGCCGCAGTAAGAGTAGTTGTAGTTGTGGTATATAGTAAAGTAGTACTACTACAACTACAATATTAGTATATCGACGATTGTGTAGTGCCTTTCTCGTCGGCAGGCAGTACTTCTGAGTATCCTGCTTGATAATGCCGGGATCTTTGCAGAGAAAAACAATTGATACTACTGCTGCTATTAATACTACTGCTACTACTACTACTACAACCACTACTACTATTATTACTACTACTATTACTACCACCCCCATTACTACTTCTACTACTACTACTACTACTACTACTACTACTACTTTTACTACTGCAGCTGCTAAACAAAGTCAACAAACACATACAGCATTTACTGAAATGAAATCGTTGCCATCAGACTTCTAATCTATGAATTCACAACATTGAATGGCAACTATATTATAAATTTAGAAGGATTGATCAATTAATTGATTATAATGTTATTGCAGATAGCCACGAAATTATAACACTGGCATACAATTAGGTAACGTTCTTTTGTTGGTTGGTCGATTGGTTGGTTGGTTGATTGATTGGTTGATTGGTTGGTTGGTTGATTGATTGATTGGTTGGTTGATTGGTTGATTGATTGGTTGGTTGGTTGATTGGTTGGTTGGTTGGTTGGTTGGTTGATTGATCGATAGATCGATTGATTGATTGATTAATTCATTGATTCATTGATGATTGATTGATTGATTGATTGATTCATTGATTCATTCATTCATTAGTCGGCTGATTGACTGATTGTTCTATCGATTTGAATGTTTGTCGGTTGGTTGGTCGATTGATTGACATCTGACACATTTGACACATCTCATCGACCATGAATGTTAAACACTCAATCACGAATCAATACAATGCAATGCAAACATTTTTTTTCATCCCTTTTTTTATCAGTTCCACTTAGTTATACGGCTTGCCCTTAATGTCATTTTTATTGATGTCTTGTCACATCTTTGCCTGTGTCTTTGTTATTACTATTTTTGTAGTAGTAATAGTAGTAGTAGTAGTAGTAGTAGTAGTAGTAGTAGTAATAGTAGTAGTAGTAGTAGTAGTAGTAGTAGTAGTAGTAGTAGTAGTAGCGTAAGCAGTAGTAGTTGCAGTAAGTAGTGGTATATGATTATATGTATAAAGTTGTATAGTTATCAATCAATCACACAGATAGATGTGTTTGTGTAACTTGCTACCATCTCAAATGAATTCGTTTTACTGTTATGGTTTTTGAAAAAATCTAAAAGCGATAAAAATGTGATTGATGATGACGACAACGACCATGCTGCTTATCATCAACGTCATAAGAAATCAACATGATGAGGATAAGAATTATGAATAATGACTATTAATCATTCAGTGATGAAAACAGGTATCGACTGACTGGAACACTTACCAACACAGACATACTGATGCTTGTCAGTGCAGACAGACAGACGCAAAGATGTCTGTATTGTATATATAACATGTCTGTACGTATAAATTATCATCATAAGTTCATCTTATACATAAACATATAATAATGAAGAAACGTACACAATTTTACACACACACACACACACACGCAAATTTATACACATACATACACGTACGCACAAACTCACACACATACACACGTACACCTGTATTAGCTAACAATTGATTGCTCCAACCAGGTGAGAGAGAGAGAGAGAACGAAGAGACAATAAACTGTACAGTACACGCACATACATACATAAATACATACATGCATACATACATATATACATACATACATACATACATACATACATACATACATACATACATACATACATACATACATACATACATCCACATACATACATTCACATACATACATATACTCATACATACTAAGCGTATATAAGAAGTTACGTTTGAAAATCTCGGCTTAATTCTCATCTACGCGTAACCTTAAAATCGTAAAATCTTCATTTGAATAGGAAAGCATTTAACATATATAGGTATATATGTGTGTGTGTGTGTGTATATATATATATATATATATATATATATATATATATATATGTATGTGTATATATATATGTGTGTGTATATATCTATAATGGTATATAAATAAGTATTTAAGCACATGTGTTTATGTGTTGGTATTATCTTTATATAAATGTGAATATTCTCTACCTGGATTGTGTTGATGAAAGAATAAAATTGTCATATATAATGTAATTTAATGTGTTGGTGACATTAACTGGATAATATTTGGTTAATTAATTAATTAATTAATTAATTAATTAATTAATTTGTTTATTTATTTATTTATTTGACTGGTGCATCGTGCGCTCTTCATATCTGAATAGTAGTTGGCTTAGATGGTGATTTAAAAGTTGTTAGATTCATGAAGTCAACTTAATGTGAAATTTATCCTACGTTTGAATTGTTCAGTATCAGTGCGATGATGTCATCCTATCAGTCAAGTACAAAAGGAGGAAGATCACGTGACGACGACAACATCAACAACATCAACAATAACTACGTCAACGGTTACAGCAACAACGTTAACAACTACAACAACAACCGGACGGTTGAAGTTACAAATCTGAATTACAAGAATGACGACAACGGCTGTGACAGTAATTACATGAACATGAATAACATTAAAAACATTTACATCAATAACGCTATGAACAGTTACTACAACAACAACAATAACAACAACAACAACAGCTTTTACAACAGCAACAAATACATCGAAAATGACCAAAAGAGATTACAATTCATCTCAACGCTTAAAAACGTCAACCTTAATGTCAAAAACAGCAACGACAACAACAACAGCAATGATCTCAACAGCGTCAACAATAGCATCAACAACAAATGCAACAACGACAACAACAACAACAAAACCATTCGTCTAATTAAAAACAGAATTTCTCACGCTCCAAACAACAGCAACAGAAACAACAATAGGTGCACCAAATACAATGCCACTGATAACAACAATGATGACGATGACAATGACGTCATTAATGATGATAAGGGGAGCAACGAAAATGGTGATAACGATGGTGTAAATGGTGATGAGGATGGTGATAGTTTGATGGGGACGGCGATGAACGGCATTGGCAGCAATCCGCGTTTCAGCATGTGTATGGATAGCGCTAAAGGTCTGTATAATGGGCCTGGAGATAATAATTGCTTTATGAATAGCTCTGTTCAGGTTGGTTGGTTAGTTGATTGTTGGTTGGTTGATTGTTGGTTGGTTGGTTGGCTTGGTTGATTGGTAGTTAGTTGGTTGGTTGATTGGATGGTTGTTTGGTTAGTTTGTTGGTCGGTTGGATGGTTGATGAAATGTTTGTAATAGTTTGATTGGCTGGTTGTTTAGTAAGTAGATGCTGGTTGATTTTGATTTTTTGATTGGTTGGCTGATTGGCTGTTGTATAGCTTAATTTTTTAACAAGATTGATAAAACGAATGAATGAATGCATCATAAACGAATGATTGCTCGGTTGATTAATTAGTTTAATTATCAATCTTGTAATTCCACATTGTTTGTTCTTCATCTTCATGTATGTTACGCAAAGAAAATTGTTCGTAGCCAGGCCAGACACAGCCAACCCATAAATGTATGCAATCTTCATTATAAAATCAAATGCTCTAATTAACTATATAATCCATGCTACACAAGGCAACAACAACAACAATGACAACAGCATTATTATTACTGTTATTATTGTTATTGTTGTTATTATTATTGTTATTATTATTATTATTGCAAATGTTTTGGTGTGTGCATCTTCCTTTACTTAATCTAGTTTTCATACGTTTGCGCGCTTGAATGCATGAAGGAATGAATGAATGAATGAATGCATGAATGAATGAATGACAGAATGAATGAATGCTTAAGTGAGTGAAAAAATGCATGAGCGATAGAACAAATGATTGAATGGAGATGAGTTAACTAATAACCAAAAAAATGAACAAATGAATGATCAAGTAAATGAATTAATGAATGAATGAATGAAAATATAAAAAACGAATGAAAATATGAAGGAATGTATGAGTAAATGAGCATCTGAATGCGTGAAAGAATGCGTGAAAGAATGAACGATCACGAAGCATAGGAATATTTTTTAATTACACAGACTTTACCATAATGTTAGCGTGAAACTTTTTATTTTATTTGCAACAATGAATTTATCATAAACTTGTACAAACATAAGTGTACACACACATATGCATACATACACAAATGCAAAAATACATGCGCACACACATACATATTTGTATACATACACACACACACAGACACACTCAAACACACACACATACATTCACGTATGCACACACACATACATACACATACACTCAAACACACACACACACACACACACATACATACATACAAAAGCACATTTTCATTCCAGCAAACAATGCATAGCGTACGTATACATGTCATTATTCGAGACAACAAAACAAAATTTTTGTTTGACACGAGAAATGCAGACATAAACAACCGCTGAGCTGGCATACAAACAAACAAACAAACAAACAAACAAACAAACAAACAAACAAACAAACAAACAAACAAACAAACAAACAAACAAACAAACAAACAAACAAACAAACAAATAAATACAGGTGTACTAAGAAATGATATAACAAAATACCTACCACACATATACAATACAATGCAATGTATACAAACACAATGCTGTGTGTGTTTGTGTATATGTTTGATTGTGTGTGTGTGAGCGTATGTTTGTGTTTGTGTGTGTGTGTGTGTGTGCGTGTGTGTTATATATTTACGCCCATCATATTTTTCATACTTGTACCTGCAAAAATTTAATTTATTTATCCTTATCATTCATTTATAAGACTAGTACACATTACGTATGATTATAAAATAAAAATATTCACACCCATATACACTTAAACGCACACACACACACACACACATACAAAAACACACACACACACATAGGCAAACATACGGAAACATACTCAAGAGTACGGAAACATACATTCAGCAATTGGCATGTATGTAAATAACATTCGTGAGAAAATAGCTATTGCCGCGTAGACATTTTTTCTCATATTACGGATTGCTTAAAGATTTTATTATACGAAAATTAAAATTACAACTACTATTACTGCTACTTTTACTTCTACTACTGCTGCTACCACCGCTGCTGCTGCTACTACTAATAGTATTACTGTTACTACTTCTACTACTACTACAATTTTTACTACTACTACTACCTCTAGTAATAATAAAGCCATCGGGTTATAACCATCCATTAAAACTTTGAAACTTGGAGCATTATACGCTAACTTGGCAATTTATATTTTTCATTTTTTTGCATAAATTTAATTAAGAATCTTTTTTATTCATTTTTAAAATGAAATTTCTGTGAGATTAGTAGGCAGTGATGTTTTTAACAAAAAACTCTAGCTAAAATGATCTGGATAAATTTTTTCTTAAATAATAATGTGAAACTCTTATTTTTTATTTACAATTTAGTCAAATTATATTTGTTTTACAAACTTTCAGCTGCTAATGACAAAATTAATTTTTAAAAATAAAAAATAAAACTAAATAATGATTTATTGTCATTTAATTCAACGTAATCACAATTCAGATTCTTTGGCATCTGGATTCCTTCCGCTGCAACTTCCGGCAGATGTCTGCCCATGCGTGCACTGGCTCCAATTGCGTCTTCTGTTCTTTGAAGGTAGGTAGGCTGATTATATATGAAATTCGTATGTTTGTATTTATTTAAAAATGTGTATACATTTTGTATTAATGTATGTATATATATATATATAATTATATATATCTGTATATCAAATCTGTATGTATTGTATGTAAGTAAAAATGTATATGTATATATATGTATATATATATATATATATATATATATATTAATATATAGATCTATGTGTGTACGTACGTACTTGTTGTATGTGTATTGGTTGTAAACATTGCATTTTTTGTATGTATGTGTGTAGTGTATACGTGTATATATATATCCATGTGTGTATGGTATTTGTATGTTATATTTATTGAATATTTTATAAACGCATATTGAACTCAAGTTATGTTAAGGTGTTTCTACTGTTACAAATTGTACAACGGAGAAGCATCATTAAAAAAGTGTATGAAATATCGAATTTTAAGTTTAAGTAAAAATGTTTGTTCATAAGGCGTACATAAGGAATCAATTTTTGTACGCTTAAACGTTTATGATCCTGTTCATGCAGCTTAAGTAGCCGCGATATAAGCGTTGTTGTGGCGACGACCGCAATAATTTTGAAAATTGTTTAATGTAGGTCGTTGAGACATGATGCGCATGTATTTCTGAGCATATGTTGAGTTTAAATAAATGATAAATGAATGGATGGATGGATGGATGGATGAATGGATGGATGGATGGATGGATGGATGGATGAATAGATGGATGAATGGATGGATGGATGGATAGATTTATAGATGGATGGATGGATGGATGGACAGAAGGACAGACAGATATACAGACAAATGGATAAATGAATGAATGAATGACTAGATGTTTAGATGGATGAAAAATAACGTGAAACATTCATAATAATATAATGTATAATATTTTAATTAGTGAAATAAAATTAGCTGAATGCCTAGATTTGATTTGTGTATATCGGCTTGTTAACTTCTGTTGGCAAGTTTGGCAAACATGTGTTTGTAATAAAACAAAATCAAGATTTGGAATGATTGAAAGATTAATTTGTTTGGTAGTTATTGCGCTTGGTTTACTTACTGTTCGTTTGCTTCAAGCAAATTGCTTGGTCCACTCTTCGTTTGTTTGGTTTATAATTCGTTTGTTTGGTTTCTGGTTTCTTTGCTTTTGGTTTGTCGATAGATCGGTAATTTAGATTCATGTTTGGTATTTCATTCATGTTTGATTATTCATAAACAACATTCTGTGCATCGCTTAAAGAGAAAATCTTAAAAGGAATCATAGTTTGTTACAAACTCCACATGTTAACGGTATGAAGTTACGAAATAATAATAAGAAAGAAAAAAAATTCGAAACCCACCCACCCCATCTAGGAAATACTGACCAGCTACCAGTTCAGTGACCAGCCGATATTGTCATCTGCATCATTACGTCATTCGTTGGCATCGACGTTTAAAAGTGAACGCAGGTTTCAACTTGGGGCTCCATGCGATGCGTCAGAGTGCTATGTTAGTTTTGCTGTTGGTTTGTTGATGGTGGTGGTTGTTTTGTTTGATGATTCTTTGTCTGTTCATTTGCTCGTTTGATTTATTAATGGATTACACTATCTGTTCATTCATTCTTTCGTTCGTTCGTTCGTTCATTCATTCATTCATACATTCATTCATTCGTTCACTCATTCATTCACTCATTCATCATTAATTTTCTCGAAATCAAATGAACTTGTAATAAGATTTCGTACAAACATTCAAGTGTGTATATACACACACAAATACACCCCCCCACACACATATATATTTATAGATTATATATATATTATATATATTTATAAATGTGTATATATATACATATATATATGTATATATATATATGTATATATATTATATATATATATCTATATATGTGTGTGTGTGTGTCTGTGTGTTTGTGTGTGTGTCGTGTGTGTAAGACTTAAGACTTGGTTCGTACAAACAAACAATGATGATGATTAAAATTTCTTGCGAGTGACCTTGACATTTAAATATTACTTCATTGTTGTTTGCACGGCGAATCAATAAAAAAGAATGTAATGCACATTTATCAACGACACGCTAAGATGTCGTTGTGGTAGTAGTAGTTGCTGTAGTGCTAGTTGTAGTAGAAGTAAGAGGTAGTAGTAATAGTAGTCGTCGTCTTTGCCGTAGTAGTAGTAGTAGAAGTAGTAAAATTTAAAGTATTCAACTTTTTATTTTGTTTAAAATACACTTTGTAGTAGCAGTTGTAGTAGTAGTAGTAGTAGTAGTAGTAGTAGTAGTAGTAGTAGTAGTAGCATTAGTAGTAGTAGTAGTAGTAGCATTAGTAGTAGTAGTAGTAGTAATAGAAGAAGAAGAAAAGGTAGTAGCAATAGTTTTAGTGAAAATTAAGGTCAACTATTATTTTTTCAAAATTCCTTTATAAGTAACAAAGTACCATTAACACGAATGTGAAGTTGCTCATAAAGTCACACACTGCTTACTTTTTACTGAATCTGCTATCGCATATTTTCCATCAATTCTTTGGTCTCTTTCTTTATCTCTCTATTTTTTCTCTCCTCTCTTTCTTTTCTCTTTTTCTATCTTTCTCTCTAAAATACACAAAATTGATTGATTTTGACGCTTCTTAACGGTAATAAATTCTGTTCACTAAGATAGCATTCGTTCATGCTCTGCTAGAATTGTTAAGAACTGGCTTTGTTAACTGTTAAAATAATATACTATTTGTTTGCTAAGACAATTTATGATAATTTATTAATTTATTCATATATTTAGGAAACAATATTGGACCGCCTACATGATCACGTGACGGACAGTGAGAACGAATCGAATTGCAGGGCACAGCACTGCATCTCGCATCAAAAACTTTCCATGCATATTAATGAGATGGTAATTGGAGATAATAAAGTTAAATAATTTCTACAAAATAACATCAATAATAACAAAAATAATTTAATAATGGTAATAATAATAATTATTACTAGAATAAAATGACAATTATTATTATTTTCAGATAAGTTGTACGTGTGGCGCCTGTTCAAAACCATTGCAATTCCAGCAGCCAGTTTATTATGTATCAACTACGGCGCTATTGTTAGTATATTATTATTAATAATAATAATAATGATAATAATAATAATAATAATAATTATTATTATTATTATTATTATTAATTATTATTATTATTATTATTATTCAGGACTGTTCTCTTGAATGACAGCAGAAAAATCGACTGCAACGATTTTGATATCAACAAAACTCTTACTACTACCAACCCCACTACTACTACTACTACTACTACGACTGCTACTACTACTACTACTACTGCTGCTGCTGCTGCTGCTGCTGCTGCTGCTACTACTACTAGTACTACTTCGAGTAATTTTTGTCAACTTTTAAAGCAAGCTCGCAACCATGGTGATGATTTGAAATGTCCGGTACGTTAGCATTTATTAAATATTTTTAATTTTAATAATTTAATAAATAACCAACCAGTTAATTAATTTTATTATTGTATTTATTTACAGGCTTTATCCTGCTCAACACCAACAACATCGTCGTCATCATCGTCATCGTCCCCACCAACTTCATCGTTATCATCACCGCCATCATCATCATCACCATCATTATCATCATCTTCCTCTTCTTTAAAATGCTTCGGAGTATCCAGACGTCTGCAAATCCTGACGAAAACACCGGAAGTCACGTGTCTGGGATTTGTGTGGGACACCCATCGCCCGAGCGCTGATCAGCTCCGTGGAATTCTCAAGTCCATTGACGTCACGATAGCACCACGGGAAGTAAGTTGTCATGATTATGATGACGAAAACGGCGATGATGATGATGTTTATGATGGTGATGATGATAATGCTGATTTGTTATAATAATTAAATTAATAGTAACAATAATAGTAATAATAATAATACTAATAATAACAAAATAAAAACGATTCCATTTTGGACAGCTTTTTGACAGACAACCCCAGTTCTCATCATCACCATCATTATCACCACCATCACCATCATCGCCATCGCAATCATTATCATCATCATTATCACCATCGTCATTATCACAATCACAATCAATATCATCACCACCATCGTCGTCGTCATCGTCTGAGGCGTATTACAATTTGGCGGGAGTTATATCATATCACCACGGCCACTATTGCACCTTCATTTTCCATTCCAAACAACATGTCTGGTACCAGTTCGATGATGGAAACGTTCAAATGGTACGGTTGTCATCTCGTTTGTTATTATTATTGTTATTAATTTTATTATTATTATTGTTGTTATTGTTGTTGTTGCTGCTGTTGTTGTTGTGGTTTTGTTATCATTATAAACAGTATCGTTATCCTACTTTATCATCATCGTCGTCGTCATCATCATCATCATCCAATAACCACGTGACCAGCTGGACAACCAATGGGAAACAGTGGTCAAAAAGTGCCTGACCAATAAATATCAACCCTTACTTCTTTTTTACACCAAACCACGTGATCTATGTAAGTCTGTGTCCATGGTTACTGCCTTCAAGCAGACCTTCTTCCGGTCATGTGACCTCTCCACTTCCGGTTGGTTGATCGATTTGTTGATTGGTTAAAAATATTAATTCAACTGAATGGTTTTATTTTTTTTTAAATTATATGATATAAAACTACTTGTGATATGATTCGTGACGTCATTTTAATAATGAGTAAAATTTGACGATGACAGAAGATGAAGACGTTGTATATTTATCACTTGTTCATTTCTCTTAGATAATCATTTGGCTGTAGAAAACCCAACAACAACAACATCATCATTATCATCATCTACGGCCACAATATTGAAAACGTCAACAACAGCAGCCACAACAACGACAGCAACAACAGCGACGACACCTTCTCTAAGAAATGGCGCGAAATTCAAAAGAAAGCCAAGTTACTTAAAAGCGGTAGATTTAACGCAAGTTGATTTCAGCAACAACAGCAACAACAACATGATCAACAACAAAAATTACAGTAAAAACAACAACAACAACATTAGCAATATTAGCAACAACATTAACAACAACAATTTCATCAAAAACCAACACGAAAAATTATACAACAGTCGTCGTAGCCATTCTATCACCAAATGTCATGACATCAACACCAGGGACAGCAACAAAAACAACAACAGCAGCAACAGCAATAACAACATCATAAATTTTACAACTGACAACATCAACAACAACAACAATAACATCAATATTAACTACAATAACATTAACAAACCCGACCATGCACCAAACAACGTGTACTGCACCTTACGTAGCAGAAAATCTATTGACATCAACCGTAACCTCGACAACAACTATTTCATACCAAACATCAATAACATTAACAACAATAACAACAACACTAGCATCAACGTCAATCAAAATACAATACTAAACTCAGTAAGATTAGACAACAATGCATTTAAATCTATTATTACACAAAACATCAACCAAAACAATAAAAACATCAACTGCAACAACAAAAATGACATCAACAACAAAACAACAACATCAATTTCTTTGAAAAACGTTCGCTTCGCTGCTGAGATAACGACTGTATATCCATCGGGCAGAGTCGAAACTCAAAAAATTGGTGCTATAACAGAAAATATTTCTTCAACCAATCAAAACCACTCATTAACAAATCAAAATATCTATTCAGCCAATCAAAATCTTTTACCAATCAATCAAAAACTTCCGCTAATCAATCAAATTCTCCCATCATACAATCAAAATCTCTTATCACACAACCAAAATCCACCTCTAACCAGTCAAAATCTTCCGTCAGCCAATCAAAATCTCCGACACATCAATCAAAATCTCGTTCACCCAATAAACGCTTCTGAAATAGATAGTGTTGTTAATTCAGATTTGAAAGCAACACTTGGAGACAGGTTGATAGAGTTGAATGGACAAAAAAATGTTAATAAAATATCATTTAGTAGTTTTAGTAACGTGAAAAATTGTCTTCACAGCAACGACGAAACTGTGAATGGTAATAACATTAACTGTTTGAACAGTCGTCACAATTATGACATCAAGGACATCAATAATGCTAAAAGTAGTAGCTACATCAGCAACAACAACAACAACAGCAACAGCAGCAGCAACAACAACAGTATTAATAACAACTGCACTAATAATATCAACAAAAATATAAACCACATGAAAGAAGGCAATATCAAAAGGAGCAACTACAACTACAACAGCTACAACAACAAAGAAAAACAACAACTACAGCAACCTCCTTCGTTTTTCAGCAAATATTCAAGCATTCTCAATAGCATGGAAGTGGGTGATGGTGAAAATGATAACAATGATTACGTGAGTGGCGAGGCAAACAATTACATCACCAAAAACTTGGTCCAGGGTTATCTCATGAAATCCACGTTAATCAAAAAGCGCTTCTCATCACCACCACCACCACAACCACCACTACCGCCATCATCATCGCCATCAGTGACGTCATCGTTGTTAAAATCAGCATCGGCCATGGCGTCATCGTTGACGTCATCGTCATTAATGACGTCATCACGCCCACAGCAGGGACGACATCAACAACAATCACGACAGCAGCCATTATTATTAGTAGAAGCACCGTCTGACTCTATATCCTTCCTGTCTTCATCATCTTCATCATCAGCGTCATCAGCGTCACTACAAATGACGACTGCATCGTCATCACCACCGCATTCATCGTCGTCGTCGTCATCATCATCATCATCACCAGATTGTGAAGTTGGTAGTAACGATAGTGGCATCTGCGTCGAGAAACATTGCAGCACCACCAGTACAAACAACAACGATGGCGACTATTGCGGAAAAAGATTCAACTACAAAAACGTCACTACCACCGTTAAAAACAACAAAAGCAACAACAGCTGCAACTATTACATTAACAACAATAATGACATCAAAGTCAACTACAGCAGCCACAGCAGCAGCCACAGCAGCTACCAAACTACTAACACCAACTTAACAACTAACAACCAAAATAACTCAAATATAACTAGCAATATTTTTCAAATGACCAAGTTATAAAACGTTACTCATACATATTCACGCCTTTCAATTTTTTGTTGAATTTAATTCCACAAAAAAATGCAATGGAAAAATATCGTTCATAAATGTTTATTCTGTGAGTTTGTGTTTACAATTCGCCATGTAAATATTTATAAAATCAATCAAAAACATTGGCACTTGGATTTGTATTTTAAATAATAATCATTAGTTCGTGTACTTTAGTTGAATTCTAGGCTGCTTTCTCGTTAATTTTTTTCCTTTGTATGTCAATTTTAATTTGATTGAATGTAATGTTAATAAAACAGTGCAGAAGAAAAGATATCTCCAATTACTACGTTGTGAATGTTGAATCGTTATGAGAGAGAGAGAGAGAGAGAGAGAGAGAGAGAGAGAGAGAGAGAGAGAGAGAGAGAGAGAGAGAGAGAGAGAGAGAGAGAGAGAGAGAGAGAGAGAGAGAGAGAGAGAAACGATTAGTTAATTGAAATTTGTACATTGAAATTGTGATTTGGGAAAAAATGTTACATCGGTTAAGTATAGTTTTTTATTAATTTTTTTTTATTCGTCATCAAACATTATATATTTTCTGGTTTCAGCGCGGTTTCTGTTTTAATTACCGGCTAACGAGTGGCTTCAAAGTGTTTAATTAAAAAATTTAGAAAAAGAAAAGATGAAGTTAAAAGAATTGAAATGGTATAACCTAAAATTAACTGTCACAGATTTTTATAATTGAGAGTCGTACAGCTGTGTATAATTTGGTGCAAAACAATCTCACGTACATTCTTCTCGTTATCTAGGTCCAATTTAGCAAGACCATTATACATTTTTCCCAAAATAAACAAAGGAATATATGTCAATCCTTGTTCAGTAATATCTGACATCGAATAACTTAATCTCTCAATTGGGATCACTGAAACTTTGTTTTTAAAATGATATACTCCCGTGTTGGGACTGTCTTGATGGTCAACGAGCTGGTATCATTAACGATGCAACTGACCGTCACGCTACTGCACACCAATGATGTCCACTCAAATGTTGAGATGGTCACTGCTTCTGGTGCACCTTGTCTCGATCTTGAGGCGCGAAAGTTCGTGTTTTGGAAATTTTGTGTTATTTTTTGTATGATACTATGCGATGTCATCACTACACTGGGTACCATTGTGAAATGTTTGTTTTGCCAAATTTTAAAATTTAATTTTTTTTTGTGGGATAAACTTTAAATTCATTTTATATTAATGAGAATCCATCTCAAATATTTATAACTTAAAGATGCTTCGGCGGATATTCAAGGAGAGCTAGCTTTATAAAAGCAGAGAGGGCCAAGGATAATTTACTTTTGTTGGACGCCGGTGACCAGTTTCATGGTTTTTATGGAATTTTAATCTTCTAATTAAGTTTAAAATAAATTCATCTCAATCTCTATTTTTTTACGCTGTGATTGGAAACTAAAAAAGCATACATACTTCAGATTTATTAATTTTTTAGACATTTCATTCCACATTTTTACCCAATTGTTTTAGTACAAACAAGCATCATTTAATTTTGTATCGACTAACTTACTAACACCATGAGTGACCACACCACTGACCACACCGCTGACCACCACCATGCAGGCAGTCCATGGCACCACGTGTATAAGGGCAGAGAAACAAGTTTCTTCATGAACCTCCTCAATTACACTGCTATTGTTGGTTGTGCTAGTATTTTTTGCTTGTTAAGCTTTTTTTAAATTTGCAATGTTTATTAAAACAAAATAATTTTGTGAGTAATTTGCAAATGATTGGTCAATAATATATACATAAAGATATCTAGATTATTTAGTTTTTTTTTGTTTAAATCCGTTTTTCTGAGTTTTTCTTTACCACTGCAAGAGTTTTTAAATTTAAGACCAAAAACATTTATGGATGTTGGGTGGATGAAAACCGTAAAAAGTAGGGTAGGTGAATGTTTATTAGCTGAATTTGAATTTTATATCTTCTCAGTTCATGGCGTGATAAACTGTGATGATTGACTTATGGTGAAGTACTTGTGTTTATGAAACAACCAAAAGAGAACAATAAAAAATAGTGAATGACCAGCCAAATAACATTTGAAAAACAAATTGTCTAAAGGGAGTTATATGTTATTATTATTATTTGTTTGGAAGGTTACCCCTGAATTACATCATGCAACAAACATTCGCATTTCGTCTATCCTGTGCAGTACATGCGTTTGACGCGTCCGTGATAAATAAATACAATCACATAAAAATATATTGTGAAATATTTTATTTAAATAAATTCTAAATTAATTTTTTATTTTTAAAAATGTAACGAAAAAATAAATCAGGCCATTGGTACACATGCTTTTGACCAGTCTCTGGAAAGTTTGGAAGAGGTGTTGTCAAACTTTACCACTCATATAATCTGCTGCAACCTCAAACTAGCTACCGTGAGTACCTACCTACTGGCAATGTTTTAAAAAGTAATCTAATGTTAAATATACGCATCGAGTATATTGTGGTGCAAGTACGTAAATCACAGGTATCGTAAATATATGCGTTAATGGGCCCTCCTGTTTGAAGCATATCTCAAAATTTCATTCTAGATTTGAGAATAAAATAAATTTCTAGAAAACGCTTTTAACTGTGCATGTGCGTATGTACCTTACCTACAAATTTTATGTCAAATTTTATGTACCTACAAATTTCATGTCAAATTTTATGTCAAAAGGAGGTTCGCGTTATATGTAAAGATTCGCGGTAAGCACCGTGGGTTAATAAAAAGAATAATAGTTGAAATGAAAAATTGTAAAAATGAAATAGAAGAAATAATAGTACGTACGTACGGATTGAATAATAACGACGTATTAAAGTTTTTAAAACCATTATCTTAAATTATTTCAAACTCTGAAACTGTTTTAAACTCATCTTCCATCTCCTCCACTTTCATAGGCCACAGGGTTCTTTCAGAGAATTGAACCCATGTCAACTTATGATTACAAAAATCATAAAATCCACATCGTTGGCTACATAACTGAAAAGGTTGCTCTGTCCGGCAGAGCAGGTTTTACAACCAATACAATTATTAATTGTAAACTTTTTTTGTTAATTATTAATTATTATTTGTTAATTATTTATTAGTTGTTATCAACATTAAACTTTTGCAATTATTGAAATTAATAAACTTTCAATTTCCAAATTGATAAATACTTTGGCGAATAAACTTCACGACCTTCACGACACACACACACACGCATGCACCACACACCCACACCACACACACACACCACACACACGCACGCAGGACCCTTGCAGTTTGTCGAGCACGTTACAAGAGTGCAAGAGACAGTACAACGGATAAAAAGATCTGGCAATATCATCATTGCACTTGGACATGCCGGATATGAAATGGACATTAAGATGGCAAAAATCGTTCCGGATCTGGATATCATCGTTGGGGGAAAAAGTCACACGCTACTCCATACTAAAAGTTGGCCTTTCAAGTGTTTCCATATTTGGCAAATACCTCAGTTATAAAATTAGTATAATCGTGCATTACTCCAACCTAAAAGTCAGTAATTTTAGTTGTGTGCGAGCGTATTGATACTAGTAGTGTAGTAATTTCGTGATAACGATGACTAGGCCCGGAATACTCGCATTTGAACGAAACAATAGATGGTCCGTACCCAACTGTCGTTGAGCACAGTGACGGCCGAAAAACGTTGATCGTACAAGCTGGAGAACGCGGAGTGTACGTTGGCAAATTGACGGCTGACTTTGATGACGATGGTAACATTCAACATTTCTCAGGAAACACCATACTGATGGATGAGTCAATCCCAAATGGTGAGTAGGCTGGTTGTCTCCTATAGGATTTCATTTTAAATTTGCTTATTCATTCGTTCAACCAACTATTGATTGATTAGTTGGTGATTGATTGATTAGTTCAAACGTTTATTTTTTTCAACTATTTATTTGTTCTTTCACTTATTCAGACAAATTAATTGACGAGCAGATAACAAAAATGAGTGGTCAAGTACGGGTCTTCAACAATAAAGTCATAGGAAAGTCTGCTAAGTTTTTAGACGGCGATGATAAGATTTGTCTGGTCGAGGAGTGCACTGTGGGTGAGTGAAGGACATGATGTGATGTTCGTATTCATGTAAAATATGACCTAACCCTGTTACAACTGCATTGACGAGTTGTAACAGCATCTTATAAATAAACTAAGCGCCGACTGCCACTTTTAAAATAGCTTCTTGATTACAACATAACAATATGTAGTGATTTTGCTCTCACATGTTTAACTAGTTTTATCATATGAGGATTTTCAGTTTTGCTAATCAAGTTTGTAAGAAGACCTTCCAAATAACAAATTTTTATTGGACGTAAAAACTTAAAACGAAACCTGAACTTGCACGAAATATTTGCAAAGCAGGCAACATGGTGGCAGACGCTGTGGTCAGTTACTTTTCCAACAAGTTGCCTAAATTGGCCATCAGCATGATCAACGGCGGGGCAATCAAAGGCAGCATAAATGAAGGTTATATTAATTTTATTGAAGTGAACGCCATCTGTTGGCTATAATTATAAAAATATTCTAGGTGACGTAACTTACGGCGATTTGATCAACGTTTTCCCGTATGAAAACGTTGTTCTTACTTTACGAGTGAAAGGTATCGTCATCAAAGAGCTTCTAGAATTTTCCATTAAAAATTTCCACATCGTTAAAAGATCTGGACCCTTCTTCCAGATGTCTGGTAAGACGATTGTGACGTCATCGACCGGTAGTGATAGTTATGATAGTAATTATATAGATTGACCATATTTTGTAGGTTTGAGGGTACTGTACGATGTCACAAAGCCAGTGAACCACAGAGTGCTGAGCGTGATGGTGGGTTGGTGCAGATTTCATTTTCACGCCTTGTCTTTTCATCGACTTCATTGAATTCTTAAAATGTGCAGGTTGCACAAAAGTACAGAAGCCAAGATTACCGACCTCTCAATCTAGATGCTTCATACGACATAAGCATTCCAGATTTTATATTCAAAGGTGGAGAAGACTGCAAAATATTCTTCCAACACAATTTCACCTTGCTTGCTGAAGGTCAACCAATAAAGTTATCATGATATCTTTGAAGGCTATTGAACATTTTTTGGTTTTAGGCGTTTTACATCAGATGATTATACTGGTTTTCTTCAACAAGAGTCAGTTTGTGGATGCCGACATTGAAGGTAGGATTAGATTCGCCAAAGATTCCATGGTGGTAGAGCATACAGAGGAAATTTATTATTATTCCAGTTTATGTGCTCCGCTTCTCAGTGCTACTTTTTTTATGATATCGTTGAACTTTATGTTCACTAGCTTTCTAAGAATATAAATAATTTAAATGTTCTAGATAAATAATTGACGTAACTAATTTTAAAACGAATGCAACTTGCAGACATTCGGGCAACAATGACGTCCACAAACAATATTTTTGTCAATGTTATTTAGTTAAGTTAATAAATTGTATGAAGCTCTTTTATATGTTTCTCTCGGAATGCATGTGAATGAACATTAACAAAAAAACCTTATGATTTTTTCTACAGTTTAGTAACCAGCTTATAAAATAACGTACAACCATATAAAATATGGGCAATGTAGTTTATGCAGTTTTCAGAGGACCAAGCTGCAGACATCGAAGGCAGGATGAAATTCGCCATGGACAGTACAAATGATGAAGGAATCAGCACTTTGCTCGTTTCACTTTTAGAAATTTTATTGTCGCCTGTTTCGCTGTTACGAGAATTTTGATTTGGTAGAACTCTTTCGGCCGTATGTAAATTTTATCATGCGTATTAACATTGGTGTATTTCTTTTTTTTACAATTCTCTTACATATTCCTCAGAGGTACCAGCAGCTGGATCATACTGGACATGTGAGCACCAACACACGCACCACACTAATTGCGGGTATCTGTTAGCGATTAAACCAGACCACTGCAGTGCCAAGTATCTTAACCGTTGCACCACCGCACCTCCTGATAAATGCTTTCATTCGTTTTACATTGAACTTGGCTACATTCAACATAGAATCACTTCAGTAGCTTTATAAGTTGAGACATCTTTTGCTGGCACTTGATTATCTCTACGTCGCATATAAGGACAATTAAAATGATTGTAAGTCAATTTATTCATTAAAAATGTTAAATGGTCAAAGTTATGAATAAAATAAAAACAAGAAGCTTCAAGCCGTATTAATGATGTCATAGCGCTTTTACTAAACATGTAACTATCCTATTATAGTTACAGGTTAATATATGCTGAAACGAATAATTAGTTAATTAACTAAATAAAAAATTATTTAAGAAATAAATCTGGCCATGAAACACCGATAATGAAATAAAATTACAACAAATTTGTATCAAACGTTGCCAATAATAAATACAAAGCATCGTAGGTGGGCTATAACGTTCTGTGGTGTTGCTATAACAAATTAAAATGTTCAACTAAATGTTTGAATAATTTTAACGTTACATATTATTATAACTGTTACACATTGTTATAATATAAAACTTAATAAACTAAATAAAAAAAAATATCCTTCCAAAGAAGTAAAGCAATAAAAAAAATTTTCCTTTAGCTACTACACTCAAAAAGTTTGTCATCTTAAATTTAAATGGAAATGTATATAAAACACTAATCGTTTGCGTATCGTTATATCTCATCACTTCTGGCAGCGTCTCGTTTCGTTTGAGGCAGAACACCATTAGAGATTCGTTTCAAAATAACGAAACGCAGACAGATCTATATGACACTTAACAAATTTTCAACATAAATAGATAAATAGAATAAAATAACATGCAACAAAAAACAAACTACGAAATAATTATCATAATATTATCATAATAATGTATCATGAATCAAATATAAAATAAATTCTTTTATTATTATAATTATTGTTAACTAATTAATTGTACAAGAGGTTCAAAATGAATTTGGGATTCAGTGAGATTTAGCGGAGAAAACGACATACAATTAATTACATATAAATATATATATATATATATATACATATTTAGATTTAAAATTAAACAATTATTAATTTTATAATAATGAATAAAAACAACAATATTAATAAACAATGATGAAAAAAAAACAAAAAAAAAAATCGAAAAATTTTGTGACGATGTTAACGACGACGATGATGAGAATGGAAATGTAATTTGTATCCAAATTTCTAAGCAAAAGGACACTTCAATTTTGAATGCAATAGCCGTAATAACAACAACAATAATAATAATAACAAATAATAATAATGATAATATATAGTAATAATAACAAATAATAACAAATTTGGTTTAACATGAGTGACGTAAACTATAATTAATAACGCTATTAATAACAATACGCACACACACACACAGATATATATATATATACGTACATGTAAAAAAGACAATTACTTTAACAGTTTTAATAATAATATTATTTTATTATTAATCTTATATATTTTACTTCCATATAGAACCATTATTATCGACCAACGACATTGCACGGCGAAAAACACTATTAATTTAGATTCACTAAATTATCAAGAAATGTGATGAAACGTTTCGACAAAACTCAAACGCTAAGTTGAACCAATATCAATGCTATATGCAAATTAACAATTTGGTATATCATACTTCGTATAGAATTATATATCATTATAGATATATCCATCTGCACATTTTTATACATCTATATATCTATTAGATGCATCTATATCACACATCTATCAATGTTATGTATCTATTGTACTATATCCAAGCCAAATATAGCTAAGGTATCTATTTATCTATCTATCTATCTACGAGATATGCTTACAACGTTTAAAATCTATGAATAGCGAATGAATTGAAGATTATGAAGAAAAAATGGGTTAGGATTATGACGCATTTTATTATTACATATGGGTATAATGACATGCATGACATATATTAGTAGTTTTCATCTGAGTCTTGGCAGGAAAAGTGTCATAGACTATTAAATTTTTTTATCTATGTATATATATATGATTTTTTAAATTCTGTTATTCATTATCGTCTCTCTCTCTCTCACCATTCATATCACTATGATGTCATTATTAAATCACATCATCATTATCATCATTATTATCATCATCACTATGTTACAGATGTATGTTATAGATAGGTATATGTTGATTGATGATAACATACGCGCAATACAAAAACCACCTTAAATTATTGATATCATCATCGTACTCACCATCGTCATTCTCACCATCACCATCTTTGTTATAATACTATCGCCACCATCGTCATCATCTTCGTCATCATCATCGTAATAATACTATCGTCACCACCATTATCATTGTTATCATCTTCATCACCACCACCATCGTAATACTAATACCATCCCACCGAAGTCAGTGACCAAACTTAAATGGGTGGACCCCCTTCGGCAAAAGAATAGAGGGCACCGGAAAAACAATTACTCTCGCAGACGGGCACGATGGCAGCTGCCCCCAACAAAATTAACATGAGGGCCTG